AGAGGGTGCGAAGGTTTATTATCGTGGGGTGGCTTTATTTCAATCGGAGATTTTTAATACCCTCTGCTCCAGAGAGATCCTGATCGCCACCGTAGCCAAGGGCTCTTTCACCTCCAGGGAATGACGGCTTTTGCTCTGTTTGTGCAATCATGTTTTTTTTTATTAAGAGACAGACAGCCGAGTTACCCCCACCTACTGGCTTAGGTGTATCTTGGGAGGGGATTAGTTTAGCTAGGATGCCACTGATAAGCCCCTCCAGGCCGACCGCAGTGTCTGGCACTTGATTGAGGTGCCATCGCCTGAATTGCCTTTTTTTAATGCATAGTTTATCTGGGAGATCTTCTGTCGAGTGGCTAATTATATTTGCCGCTTTTTGGTAACCATGGTTAAACCTACCTGATTTTGTGATGCACTGTACTTACTGGCGGTTTAACTGTTTCTAAGCGAATCTACTTGAGAGAAAACTAATACCCGTGGCAATACAGTAATTTGGCACTATTACTCAGCATCCTGTGGGTATAGGGACAGGTGATGCTTGTCATTCTCTAATGATTTCATAATTTGGTATTATTTTTTTGATGGGAGCTGATTATTCTCTTTTTTTCTGCTGTTTCTATCTACTGTGGCATTCTCGATGTGCATTGGGACCTTGTGAACTTATTTAGAATGGTAATGGAAACTAGTATTCCTAGTTGGCACTTTCTGACATCCTTTAAGCTAAAAAGGTTCATGTATGTATTGTCTAATATTGAATTTTAAAGGCGTTTGGATGAATTATTTTTATTTTGGTTGAAACATACGCTCAATATATTCACGAATCTTTCTCACTCATAATTTTTAGTAATTTTTAGCACATATTATCGCTGACTTAACCACGATACCTCTCTTACTCATTGCCAGATTCTTTCTATCATATATATATATAGATAGATAGATTATAATGGTCTCTAATTCAATATATAGAAATCCACTATATTATCTGGAGGTCCAGAGGAAAACTCCGTTATCTGTTAACACACTTTATTGTTAAGCAGACACGTAGTAACGGAGATATAAATTGGTAGGCGTGGAAGTGGCGGATAGGGCGTCGGCTTCCTACAGGAGGCAAGAAGGGGAAGGTGTTGCTTCGATGAGGCCTTGACTCGTTCTGTCTGTTCCTGGGGACACTGGTCATTCCTCCCTTTGCCCTGCCCAGGGGCGTGGCCGCCTGCGGCGGGCCTCCAGGGCCTGGGGACACTGGTCATTCCTCCCTTTGCCCTAACCAGGGGCGTGGCCACCTGCGGCGGGGCTCCAGGGCCTCCAGGCTGACCTCTCTGCAGCTGTTCCCTGTTTTCTCTGGGGGTCAGGTCAGTGGCAGGTGTTCCAGTTTGGTGATAAATGAATGTCACACCGCTCTGCCTCAATATACTGTGTATTATATCGGTATTATATACCTGCTTAGCGCCCACGTGGATGCTCGCACTAGACGCCCACGCTAGCTACCCGTCGGCTTGGGTACGCTACCTACCTCGTCCCCAAGCCAACGCTCGGATACTTAAGGCCGTGTTTTGACCCCGGTCAAAGCCTCCGGGCTAGTACAGTGAGAAGTTGCAAGTGTCGCCTGGAGGTTACTGCAGTGGCTGGGCACCACAGTGGGTAAGGACTAAGCTCATCCGAGTCAGCATCTGCTGACACACTGTTAGCGAGTCGACATTAGTCGGCACATGCCGGGCTCCCCCATAGCCCGGGCGAGGCTCAGCTTCGCATATCGGACTTATCTTATCCCCAGTCAAAGAGAGTGTTCTGTGCTGCGTTCGAGGTCACACCTGACCGCGCGGCCAGGTTGCCGCTGGGCAGGGCTAGCCAGTGACCTAGGCGCCCTCGCCTTAACCCAAGACTTGTCATCGTTGTGTTTATCCACCCGTGTGCTGAACTCTTATCAATAAAGAGATTAAGCCACCCAAGCTTTTACTATCCTATCACCAATGTTTAGAGGTTCAATCAATCTATAACCCTTTACATAGATAGATAGATATACATATATATATGTGTGTGTGTGTATGCGTGCATGCATGCTTATGAGTGTATGTACACACACACACGTACATATATATGTTTATATATATATCAAACATATATACATATCTATCTCTCTATATAAATATACTTCTATCTATCTGTATGTGCATTTATCTATATCTATCTCTCAATATATCTATATATATATATCATGTGCGCATGCTAAATAAATATATATCTCTATATATATGTATGTACATACATACACACATATACAGTGAGATCTTTTTCCACGTGACGCAGACCCAGACGACATCTTGAATGCAAACGAAGAGTATCACTCCGTGTTGCAGCTGAGCGTCGGAGGTTTTTCGCTGCTCTACTCTCCCGAAATCGACTGCGCCGACGCAGATGCCTACCGGGAGGACCATAAGGACATGAGTGCTTTCGTGCTTATCAAGTGTCTTAAAGATTGTACAAGAACCACTTATTATTATCAAAG